GAGACGGTTAGGATAACGAAGTTCTGTATTGTATTCCGAGCTCCGGCTTAGGTTAGGGCTAAATAGGACCGGATCGTATGCGTGCTTCCACTTATCCATTCAGGAGGAAGATCTTTTCGTAATGGACGACCCTCGAAACCATAATTTGGTGAAGTAAGACCTCGTCGGCGCCCGTGTCCCGTGCTTGTTAAGGTAGAGGCTGAACTTGCTCGTTGCAATTTCCTTCTTTCTCCATGAAATTACTCACTAAATGGACTGATTGATTGCCCCAACCCGGAGGAAGGTCAGCCAGGTTACAACGTTTGCTTTAGTAGATACAAGAGACGAGAGCCTGGCCCATGGAGGATTATTGTAGGGGACTTGTTAAACGTGTTCAATTAGGAAAATTTCTCATTTTTTTCGAGGATTGATTGCACATAAAATACGATAAGCAACTAATTAACTAATCAAATTGCTTTGATTAATAATCGTATCGCTGAGTCAACTCACCACTCAACTAATGAATGAACAATGTATTATTGTCCTTATAAGGCCTGAAAATGGATTTTAGAAAGTTTGGATTGAAATTTTCTCAGGAAATGAAATAACTCTTTCGAAAAGATAAAACATCACCACAACAGATTATAAAAATAGACGTGATCGGTGGGCAGGTTCGAGCCGAATCTGTTATCCAAGCCCGTCCAAAACCCCAAAAAAAAAAAATGTTATCTACTAAACCTTTGGGCCGGGCTAGGCTATCACAGGCCCGACCGTGCTGAGCTTCACAAGTAAACAGCCTTACAAAACCTGTCCAAAAGTGCCCCTCGTGCCCCCACTGTAGCCGGGACGGACCCGTGGGGTGCCAGGCATATATGATCAGGTCTACCACAAAGGTATCTCGACGACACCACTATCTTTAAGGTGATTATACACTCTCGAATGGGTGGACTTAAGCAGCCTTGGCCATGCCTAGGAAAAAGTATAGGGTCCGAGGTCGAGCCTAGAAAATCCTGTCCAGATTTGCCCATAGAAGCATTGAAAAGAATCTCTTTGCATAATCGATTTGCCCGGTTCGGATTGACTAGTCGAAGATCTAGTCCACTTGCAGGACTGCAAGGTTGAGTCATACTTGAGGGGATTCCAATCTTTATGTGCTGATAAGTCCAGGATTTTGGGGAAGTCTCTGTCTACTGATCTATCATGACTTTAAACCTGTAGACAACGTTGAGGGGATTAAACATTAAACTATCGGGACAAAGAAACTTGACCGAATATTTCCTTAAACAGCCGTCTGTCCTTCCTGCTGGGGTCTCTCTCTTTAGTCCTCAAACTGCTAGAGAGCTCAGTGAAAAGATGGCGACACACTGGGCCTGCACATCATAGGAATTGCCAAAACTTGCACCGTTTCTCCAACCTTTGGAGGACTCCTAGGAAGAACAACCCTCCTATGACCAAACCATTTGAGGAAACTGCTGCAGACGCCCCCCCATGATGCCCCCTCAGATCACATGTCCTCCGTCTCATCCACAGGAACACATCTTCCCAAGAAACTAAGGACTTCTACTTTTTTCCTCGAAGCCTCTGGGGGATTGGCCCTCACTCAATTCACTTGCTTCTCCTTTTTTCGGGCTCAACCGAGAGAAATGCTTTGACAAGATGCCATCTTTTGGGTCACCAGTCTCATCAAGGAATGTCACCAGGAAGGGGAGAAGGAAGCTTGGGAAAGCGTCCCCCTTCGTCCTCTTGCTTTCTTGGCTTAGTGATTAGGCCATTCAGCTCCCGACAAGAATTTGTGTAGGGTACGTGTCCTCTAGTTAGCCCTAGGGACGGTCCTGTTATTTCCCTACGATGCAGATGCAGATGGCGATGGGGAGTGAGAATAACTGTTTTTGTTGTTTTCTTAGGACTGTTCGAACGTGACCCCACGATGGAGGATCGTCCACAGTCGAATGTAATAAAATACTAGAATTGGTCACCAGACATGACGGCAGTCCCTTGGGCCTCGATTTTTCGCCCCTACCTTAGCAACAGCACCAATCGCCACATCACCTCTCTCTCTATCTCTCTCTCTCTCTTCAAAAGGTGAAACTGACCTGTTCTAGTGAAGCCCTAATGAGGGCAATGAGTGGATAATGCTAACTAGGGATTCTTAACAGAGAAGGAGAGAACTACAATCTTCACTTCTATACGACATTTTATGTCCCAATTATAAGTTTTACCTTTCAATCCCGTGGTTAGCGTACTAACGCATTGTCTCCATTAAAAACCGCAGTTGCATTCTCTCTTTTTTGCGAATCTCTGTTCCTGCTCTCTCACTCTCATCCTAGAACATGCATCACTTAATCTAGAATTAAGTTCTTAAGACTGTAAAGTTTTGTGTTAAGTAAAAGCGACGATTGTTGTTTTGCGCATTCAAGATTGGGAAGGACTCTAGTGAAACAAGAGTCTTCATATAGGTCATAGATGACTGATAAATACACTTGAAAAGGACCTCCTTTGTCTTGTTATTATTGTCAACCATCTCGAGCGCGAGACACGGAAAATGGCAGACATTGTCCTAAACGATTTCCATCGATTCTGAATCTTACGTAATCTCGTACCATTCTTGTTAAAGCATATCCCACATCACTTGAATACGAGATCGCAATGGCATGCATGTTGAGATAAAGTTATGTACGCGACCGTTTCATCGGGAAAACTTAAAACTATTGGATGGAAGGAGGACTACCCATGCTAATATATAAACTCATCGTAACTCCGTAATCAAGTCATGTGGAATATTCTTTTAACAGTCTCATTGTATCCGTTACATAAGTGATGGAACAAGTGATATGTTTGCATCAACCGAACAAACCCATCACCTCTCATAAGCCTTTGGGAAGTGCAATGTGTGCTTGTGTGGTGATAAGGGAATGTAATTACAAGGATTGCGAAATTGGAAAACTAGAGATTCTGCCCCCTTTCAAATATGGGAATAGGTAATGACCAAATCAGCAGAAAAAACCAAGCGAACCTATCTAAGAGCATGCCATAGATTACTAAAGTGGGAAGACTTTCCTGTATGCATGCGCGGTTCAAAGATTGGATGATTATGTCTACAATTTAGTTTGGAATAATCTATGCTAGCCATAATTATGAAGTTCGTTTGTACGGGAATTTTTTGTCCTTTATGCTCGCTCTCTCTCTCTCTCTCTCCACAGGATCCTCCACCAATGGAAAACCGGCCCACCAATGGAAAACCGCATGCGTTGGTATGAATGTGCTTCACAGAGTCGATTTCGTCTATGGGGACTTCACTCCAGTAGTCCACACGCTAAACAGTGTCATTCTAGATGGAGCAACGAGAGACGCACAAACACTAATTCAAGAATCGGATTTGCAGGCTCATTTGCAACGAAACATCCGCGAACCCACTCCTTGAAAAAGTTCAGATCTTGCCGTGAACCAACTTTGCAAATCAATCTCGAAATATCTTGACGCAGCTCCTTCTGTGTGGTCTTCGTTCTCACTTTCATGCAGCAGTCGTTCGGATATCGAACGTGTAGGGTCTCCAGACAAGTCTTCATATTCAGAGAGCCAGAGAGAGAGAGAGAGAGGAAGAGGTGCTGAGTTAAACCTCAGAAGAGAGCAAGACATCAATGATAAGGATGGTAATGGTCAATGATTAGGATGCTAATGGAGGGTGGATTCGTCTTAATCTAGCTTGGGTGCGAAGCCTGAACCATGTGCAATGTACGCTGAACGGATTTTCACTGGTGGATTGGTGAGGAAGCAAAGGGAGGAAGCGTTAAAAGAAAAGAAGGGATTTTTTAGGTCATCAGATGATTGGCCCGCCAATCCCTCCTCGTCCACGCGTCTGCCCTTGGCCGTCTCTCGCTGCTGCAGGCCGAAGCAGCATCGCGCACAGAGAGTGTGAGAGACAGGGAGAGACGTGGCCGTACCGCAGATAGAGAGTGAGAGTTGCCACTTCACGTCCTTTTCTGTCATCATTCCCGCTTTGATTCCGTTTTGATTCTGATTCCATTTCCCGTTTCTTGGTTGGGCAATTCTATTCCATGGGAGATCCCACATTCTCTCTCCCTTTCGATTCCTCCCCCATCGCGACTCACTTTGGCTTCTCCAACTTTAAAGCCTTGGGATATAAAACTTTGAAAGATTTAGGCATTTGTTATTTACACACCTCAATATAGTTCGTGAGCATGCGGAATTAACCGTTTAAATTTCAATGGGGCGATAAAAAATTATGCCCTGTTAAAGCTGAGAAGTGCGAATTTCGTTCATCTGATGGCGTCTATGGTTTTCCTAGTGAATTTAGATTAGTTATTTGAGAGCTGTTTTATGGTAGAGCTTTTAAAAGTTGATTGTGAATGATAATTTTTGCAGAAAAAATGATAGCTCGAACCGGCCCGGACTAAACCGAGTAATTTCGATCTTGGCCTTTTTTTCCTTATCTCGGTCCGGACTCATAGCCGAGCCCAAAAGAGTCCGGCCCGATTAGGTCAAGCCGGGTCAAAAGTTGCCCTTAGTCCCGTCCCGCTTGATCGGTTTACACTTCCGTTTAAATTCGAAAGGTGGAGGCCAAAGAGGACAAAGAAAATATTCGATATGATAATGAAACGAGATTACTCACGCACGTGAAGGTTCGATAGAACAATCATCATTCGACCTTTTCAGGACCGACGAACAATTTGTAATCTCGAATTCACTCCCCAAATCCCTAATAACATATGGGTTTCCATATTTGTCTAGAAAAAATTGGAAACCCTTGTCTCTAAAATAAGATTAGAGAAAGTTTGAGAGAAAAGATTCCAATTTTATGGAACTTCTTATCCGGGTAGGGGGAGGGGGGCCTTTTCGTCCTTCCACACTTAAACCCCCATTTAAACCCCTCTCTCCTCCTCCCAATCTCTCTCTCTCTCTCTCTCTCTCTCTCTCTCTCTCTCTCTCTCTCTCCTTCTTCTCCTCCTCCTCCTTCTTCTTCTTCTTCTTCGAGCAGTCGTCGGAATCCACCGGAGAAATCAATGGCGGACTCCTACAACTTCTACGATTTCCTTAGCCACACCTCTCCCTCCTCCAAGCCAGCTCTGAAGCACTCCGCCGCCGCCGCCGCCGGCCACCACGGCCACCACGGCCACCACCACCACCCCAAGCAGCCGAAGCACCAGCACCCCCTCATCTACCCCGCTCCTCCTCCTCCTCCGCCCCCGCCGCCTCAGCCTCCCTCCCCGCCTTCCCAGCAGCAGAGGGTCTTCTCCTGCCTCTACTGCTCGCGCAAGTTCGTCACCTCCCAGGCCCTGGGGGGCCACCAGAACGCCCACAAGAGGGAGCGCGCCGCCGCCCGCGGCCACCACCAGCTCCTCGTCGACGTCGTGCCGGTCCGCGCAATGCCGCCGCCGCCGGCGCTGCTTCCGGCGACTGCTCCGCCCGGGTGGCTCGACCCACTCCAGGCCGTCCCCGGCCACCGCCCGGTCCTTCACGGGTTCGTGGAGATGAGCTCCCCAATGGACTACGGCGGCGAGGACGAGGACGATGATGATGATGATGATGATGATGATGATGACGATGACGACGATGACGATAGAGTAAACCTCGATCTCTCTCTGCATCTATAGAAAGAAAAGATGGGTCCTTTCTTCTTTCTTTCCTCCAAAACAGACTTCAGGACTTTCTGGGTTTTTGGTTTTTTTTTTTGCTTTCTCTTTCTTTCTTTCGGTTGGAGTTGGAGTATATTGGGGATGTGAGGGACATGGGTGTGATATGTCTGAGCTGATTGTTGATGAACTCATTCCACATGATGATACTCTCGAATAGGAAATGTCAATGAAGTTGATGAAGATGGTTCATTTCTTCCCTATCTTTTTTTGGAGTTCTGATGCATTCCATCGTCTTTTTCCACTCACTAAAGAAGCTAAAAATGCGGGATAAAGGAACCAGATAATGAAAACGAAAGTAATGGCAGATGAGTGGTCTGATGCGGAAATGCTTGTCGACACATTCCATGTAAGAGTTCAAGGCTTTGCGTCGGTATCATTCAGCTTTGTTTTCATACGCACGTTTTGCTTCTTCTTCTTCTTTCTTTCTTTCTTTCTTTCTTTCTTTTCTCAATGATTTTAAGAAAACTTCATCGTTTCTTTCTTTCTTTCTTTCGTTTCTGATAACGATGGCATCAGAGAGAGTCATAGTTCGTGTCACGGCGAACCTCTGAAACTGCTGCTGCCTGCAGACGCCGAGCATCAACCTAAAAAGTTGAAGCGCTCTCATCATTTCTGCAGGTCCGCCAGAGAAGTTGCAGGGCTCTGTGGGAACGAGCCCCCCCCTGGGCATCTTCAAGTGCTTTTATCGAACATTAAAATCATGGAAATGGCTCCAACACCTCCTTTTGCCTTGAAACTTTCTTTGGGTTAACGAATCCCTCGTTTCTCTGCTTGTAAATTACCTGGTTTATGCATGGCCAGAAAATAATTTAAAAAAGAAGAACAAGCTTTTCCTAAGATATTATATTCATGATTTTGGCACTAGCATCGGTCATGTCCTTTTCTCTAGGTTTATCTTCCTTTTGTCAAACGTGATGAGCTCATAATCACTTGCACTAACTCAAGTTTGTCACGTTGCATTATGTCAATCTCTGTACATTTGACCACACCGTAAAAAGTGTGCTCGCATGAATCTCATGGTATGAAGTATGTCCCACGATTTCAAACTATAAAACACAGAGGTTGCTGCTTTCGAATTTTTGAAATTATCGAACCTCGCAAGAGGTTGTGCAAAATCGAAATGATGAAGAATAGACGAAGGACTTCGAAGAGTGTATATATTATATAAAAGGAGTTTTGGAGTGTCTATCTTGTTTATATAGTATCCGAAGATTTTTATATATGTACATTCGCGAGATTTAATGAATTAGAGTCCATTGCTCTACAAGCAAATTACTCTTTGTTTGTTAAAAATCAGCTATTTGCGACGTACTTAGGTGTCAATTTTTGTTTTTTGCCAAAAGCCAACTTTAGTTCATTGTCAATGAAAAACCCGCGCTCGACGGCTTGAGTATCATTTTCTCAACTTTCACAACAATGGATTTTGTTTCGGTCATCTTCTCATCTTGTTCAGTACATTTCATTAAATTGGTACTTTTTTTATTGATGGTACGAAAAGTTATTTCCTCGATCAAGCATTGTTGCGTTGAATCATATGCTCATGAAATTTTTCCTCAGCAAAATCGAGAATACAAAGCATTTTATTTCCCCCCCTTTTTCATAGTTATTTCCTTTTGATATATTAAAGCAACAAAGCATAGTAAACAGCATTGTCGTGCGCAAAATGTCCAGATATTTCCTTTGGCCAAAGTAGAAAAATGTCTAGTTTACTTGCTAATTTTGATAGATAACGCAACACGTGAAACTGAACCAACTTTCATCACGATTTAATTAAAAAAAGAAAGTCGCTTGCACGTTTCTTTCTATTAAAGTACTTGAGAATATAAAAGTGGGGGTCCTTTTCTACTTATTTTAGTTAGGTAATACAGTTAAGTGAATAGTTTAATTGATCGAACTCCATCGCTGAAAAATCCTAAATGGAAAGATTATCCCATTTGTTATTATGAAAGGAAAAGAAAAGTTAGAAGATGGAGAGGAAAGAGGAGTTGGGCCAAGTCAAAAGACAACATAGGCCTCATCATTCACGAATCATAATGTTGATTCCACGGTTTAAGTGAATCCTTAATCACATACACGCACATTAACATGGGATTACTTCAAAACCTTTGCTTTTTAGTTTCAAAGATTAGGAAAAGATGTGACAAATCCGACATGAATGAAGAAATTACTAACCAGGCACCTTCTATTTTCTACCATTTGTCATATGTTTATGTAAGTATTTTGGAGATAGAGAACAAATAGACATGATCGTGATGTTTGGTGGCCCACAAGTTTGGACAAGACCATTTAGTCCTAAGCCCGATCCGACCCGGCCCGGTTGAGCCGGGGTCATAGGATTACAAAAATTTTCTTTTGTTATGAGTAGACCTGAGCGATAAGTTAAATCCGATCTTATTGGTTGAGGCCCATTCAATAAAATAAAGAAGCAAATTCAAAGTTGTGGATTGCTCATTCGATAAGGGTTAGTAAAGATTCGATCCTTTAAATTTCAATGTTTGTTCAATTTGGTCCTCTAGCTTTTATTTTGTTTAATCAAGTTCTCTGACTTTCTGAATTCATGTGATTTGATCCTCTAAGTTTTATTTTGTGGAATCAAGTCCTTACCATTCTTAACTTGTGAAATCAAATCCCTTAGTCACTCATCCAAACTAAATTATCATATAAATTGATGACATGGCATTGCTTATGCAATAGAAAATGACGCGTAATGTCGATTTGGTGCAAAAGGAGCAGAAATCAAACGAGAAAAAACAAGGAAAAAGGAATCTTAATTTGACAGCATTAGTCACAACGGGTAAGCAAAGCACTTGATTGCACAAATCAAGAAAGTTAAATGACTTGATTGCACAAAATAAAACTTAAGAAGACCGAATTACACAAATCCAGAAAGTTAAAGGCAAAATTAAACTTAGAGGGCACGAATGCTGAAATTCTAGAGGACTAAATCTTGTACTTAGCCTCATTCGATAGTAAGGTTAAAGCAGCCACATTGTGTGTGGTGGACCAAACTTGTGAAATTCAATATACCGGCCTGCAGATTTGATTGCTCCCTCAGTCGAACAAGGTTAAAGACAAGAACATCAATGGCAAGAGGAAGGAGAAGATCCAACAAGCTCCATTCTTAGTATCATAAACTGGTAACATGACCATGTTAATGGTCAATGAGTCCCCGAGTATACAAAAGGTGTCACATAATATCATTGTCCCAAGTACAAAAACCGAACCGAACTGAACGGTCAAAACAAACAAAAACTGAAGCAGATTACTGTCTTGGCTATTTTCAGTATATGTATAGGTTTATAATTGATGAAGGGGGCTGTCTTGAGGCGATTACTTGAGCCGATTCCTCACAATCTGACCGGTCATGAAATAGGTCTTTTCGTAACAGACTATTGCTTGCTGCAATGTGTTGCTCTCCTCGAGTAATCTATCAGCTCCTCTAAAACTGTCATGGACTGTGAGTAGCAAGGAACACTCTGCAGTTTCAGTCAGTCATTCAAGCATAGTCCTCAAGGTTCGACCTCATCCTCATAATCCTTGAGGTGTTCTTTGAGGGTCTGGTTTTCGATCTCCCACTTTCCACGGTCCCACGCGGGATCGATCTCAGGTAATTCGTAGTCGTCAGGTCTCAAAGATAACTGAAACTCCGGCAGATCAGGCAGCGTCTGCAGAGACCTGTGACACCACAATAGAAAGAGTTCTCTGAATTTATGACAGGAGTCACTCGAAGCTGTGTATCTGTCCGGTAAGCAAGTATGATTATCGAAATTAGAGGGAAGTACTAAGAAAAGTCCTTACTTTTCTTGTTCTAAAAGGTATCCATATGTTTGAGATTTCCTCGATGCGACTTCAGGGATCTTCTGGTATAAGTACTTCATTACGCCCCAGAGCGGAGGGATCCTATTGCCGAGGGAAAAGAGGAGCCAATCGATGATGAATGGGCTCAAGAGAATAAGGAAAATTGATATTGGGACTAAAGGCGGCATCGCGGAAACCAACCTAGAGACAGGAGCCGCAAGGCAAAAGGTTAGGCATGCCTTCTTGCTTTCTGCTAGGAGTTCTTCAGCAGCCAGAAAGCAACACACGGCGCTAATGTGACAGGACGGTTCGTTTCCCTTGTCAAAGATTAGTCCATGGTAGTAATAAGCGGCAGCCTGATGATTTTCACAGCAATTAAACTTTGTACTGCTGCGGAACTGACAGACACCAAAGTTCTTTATTTTGAATTGAAACGAATGAAAATACACAGAATTAGGAACCTTTGCTTCGAGGTACTTCCATTTGATGAACAGCAGTTGCTTCTTTCCATACCCATGACTGAGGTCACCCTCGGACAAGCAGGTATGAGCCTAACTAACAGAGGAGAGACGTCAGTCATAATCGAAATTAAATTCATACTACAATCAAATAAAACAGAACAGCTATTATACAGAGCCTCAAATGAATCAATGGAGAAACTTTTGCCGTGAAATCAAAAGGGTTAATATTAGTGCGACAAAACCATGTGGGCAATATTTTTCGTCAATCCAGAGTCAAAATGAGGCGAAACGAGTTCTCACTGACCTGACTAAGATAGGTTAATTGCTCGCACGCCAACCTCCTCTTGACCGACAAGCTGGCCTTTTGGCTCTCAACAGCCAATCCCAGTTGAATTTCAGTTCCCTGAATATGTTGATACAGTAAATGCGCAGAGCAACTCATGAGCACACTAAAATATTCAACTGCATTTGTGCTTTTTAGCATCCTATGATTACTGATTTTTCTTTGAACCTTGCCATCTTTAATTACACAGTAAAGAGCCTGAACTATAATTTATTCACCTGAACACACCCCAGTTCTGGGATTTGTAATATAACATATTTACCTGTCCTAGAGCTTGAATGTATGTAGCCTCCAGTACACCGCCCTGCAAATCTTTTGGCAATCTTTCCCTATCAATGAATATAGCCCCAAAACATCTTATAAGTATCGAGCGTAGAAGACATAAAATCCGAGATTTGGGTTAAGTGGCATACTTTAACTCGGGTCGGATGCGTATTAGCACCTCCCTTATGCAAAATTCCAAGTACCCCGACGCCTTCAACAACAAGTCGACAGCATCCCTCTTGCAGTCTGATAACAAAAGCATCCATCAGGAATCAGTAAAGATAGAATGGACATCAGTTATGGCTGCTTGGGTAAGAAACCAAATCCCATACCTGCGGAAACAGTCCTCACTTCAGAGCCAGAATGATCCCTGGGGATCATCAGCAAATTCGCCTGGGATAGCGTCACCATGGCCATCATGTGAATGATGGACAGTAATTCAAACCAGGAGTTTGCCACGGAGGCTTCCTACTCATCAAATTTTGACCACACTTATCACTCACGACTCACAAGACAGAAATTTCAAGGTTGCACAATCTACATAAGCTTCTTACTTGCCGTCCATCGCCAAGGTTTTTCCACTTAAATTCCACCGACTCCTTGAGACTCTGTTCTGCAAATCAAACCCGTAATTGAGTTGCAAAGAGCAAACTCCCGCAGCATTCACATGCAAAAGAGAGGGAGCAATTCCAAAATCCAAACCTTTCTTTGTCAGCCCAATTACAAGAGACAAGTACTCCTCTAGAACTTCTTTCAATTCATTCGTGGCTGATCCATCTAATTTCCGAAAAAAAGAAAACAGAAATCTGTCACTCTTTGCAAATGCTATGAAGGTGAAATTTTTTTACTGGCTACAATCTCTGAAATTCAAACAGAATCAATCGCGATATCACTCTATTGATTCGAATCTAACATTCAGAATCCAATGAAAACTCAACCCTTTCCCCAATTCCGCATCAATCAAACCATACTTTCAAATGGTGCAATCAATAGCTATTTCTAAGAGCACTAACCAGTGTCCTCTGCTAGTAAAAGAATCTGATTCCGCAGCTCCGATAACCTATCGACGAGATCCCATGGAACTAGTCCTTTGAGAGCCCTTTGAAGATTGGATTGGACCGGCACTCGCATTGAAGGGACGAACACGGCGATTTCCGGGATGCTCAACTTCTTCCTCCCCCCACCCATGCAAACAGAAGCAGCACAACCCATTGTTTCTGCAGCGCTCGGCCTTCAGCATCCTAAGCAAAATCAATGATCTAAGCCCTACCCTTTTAATTCCATCACTCAGCAACATTGACTCGAAAAAGGAATTGCCCTTTTTCTTTTTCTGAACAACTAGATTTTATGGAAGCGTGGTGGTGCAATTTTAAATGGCAAGAGCACGTGAAGCGAGCGAGAGGTCCCGACTATGCAAAATCCAAGCAACCTCTGTTTCTACGGTTGAAGCATTAAATAGAGGTAAAAACAAACAATCTTTCGCTATGCATTATGATCATCTAAGCGAAGCAAAATGACAGAAAAGAAAACAAGAAGCAAGAAAAGAAAGAAAAGAAAAATAATAGCAATAACAGCACAGAGGATCTTGAAATTGTCTTACTGACAGCAGAGTGGAGAGAAGGACAGAGATGGCAGTGAAGCTTCGAGGATGCATTACATTATAAGAGTCGAAACCTGCATCACATAAGGCACAGAGAGAGAAAGAGAGAGAAGAGCTCAGGGATCGAGGCACATCTCACATGGCGGAGACGTAGGAACCCTGAAACCAGGTCCATATGCCAAATTTGTTTAAGGGCAAGTCGTCGGAAGTTTCATCAATCACCTGTTGTACGATTTCGCTTCTTGGGTTATTTTTTCCCGGTGACAACTCACCACGTATCGCTTTTTTAATCCAGTTTAATCCCTGAACTCTCCTGTGCTATTTACTGTGAATCTGAATGAACAGCAAGAACACTTTCTTTCTTCGCTTGCTCGTGTACAGTTGGGTTTCTTGATCGATTTATCTCTTTATTTTTTCTTTCTTGCTGGGGGTTCTTGAAGAGCGTGAGCTGTGACTTCTGCAGTAAGCATGTGGAAGATGGCAAGATTTTAAAGAGGGACCATGCTCTGCTTTGCCTTGCCCCAGTGGGCGGGACTGATGGGTCGCGCGACAAGTGGCGCGCCGCGATTGGTTGACCGGGTCTCCGCTTTCTCCCATGAAATCTGGGCCCTTGATTTCCCCGCATCGCTTTTGCTGATTCACCTCTTCCAGTGTACTCTTTTGCGGCTCTTTTGACCATCTTCGAGTGCACTCTTTCACTGCATTTGTCTCTTGGTGTGGACTAACTTATCAATGTGCACCGAACGAGAAGGCGTTCGATGAAATCAATATATCTATTGAATGTACATGCTCAGCATAGCATAGTTCATTGGAAGGCCTCACTTTTTTTTAAAAAAAATGTATCACATTTAGACATAAAGAGAAAAGCTTACGCGCCACATCCCTTATGATTAGAATTGTGATTTCCAAATTTGGTTTATACCGTATGAAACTATCGAAATATAGAGTAGATTATGAAATTGGTACGAAACCACCTATTTCAATAGGTCAAAGAACAATGAACCATGTTACTTGATGTGGACTAATTATCAATGTACACCGAACAAGAAAGTGTTCGATGAAATCAATATATCTGTTGAATACATGTTCAACAATCCGCATAACATAGTTCATTGGAAGGCCTCACTTTTTTCTAATTGTATCACATTTAGATGTAAAGAAAAAAGAATATGTGCCGCATCCCTTATGATTAGAATTGTGATTTCCAAATTTAGTTTATACTATGTGAAACTATCGAAATATAGAGTAGATTATGAAATTGGTATGAAACCACCTCTTTCGATAGGTCAAAGAACAGTGAACCACGATACATACGTACTCTGTCGGCAGTTTCAATATCGAAACGCTTAAAATATTTCATTTCATTCGTTCGATCAATAGGAACGTATTGTTTAGATTTCGAATGAAACCGAATCGAATCGTACCAATATAATATCGATCGAGAATCGGTCGATGATGATCATTACTATTATAACCCTAACTTGCAAATTAAGGGCAATCAAGGCAAACGAAGAGAGAACAAGAAGATGCATTGTGTAGCTGGGAAGCCCATACGTGCACTTGAAGCATCTTAAATGCATCCGGATCTTTGCCCTACGGTGAGAGAGTGCACATAGAGGAGACAGGTTCACCAAACCCCACGGTAGATAAGTTTTTGCAATTACTTCTTTGGAAGAAGTTTTATCGTGTTCACTATAAATATAAAGAAATATTTGTTTAAGTGATGCTACTTAGCCTACACTCATAAATAAAATTTTCCCTCATGCTAAGGCTCACACTTGACCAATTGACAAACAAAACTGACGCTTCCGAAAATAAGTGAGTCTTTGGTACGAGCATTTCTCGAACTTTTAAAATTTACAAAATCGGGCTTTAATTTAGCTTTCGAGTACCCGAAAGTTTTAAAGCATATTAACACGATCATTGTGAAAGTCATTAAAAGTAATTTACACGTTCTTTTGCACGAAAATATTTATGCTTAAAAATTAGAAAAAAAAATGAATATATTTTGGTGGGAATTTCAAGTGGGGCCTTGTGGCTTGGCTATTGAGTTTGACGAATAGAACATAATTGACACCATCGAGGCCGAATAAAAGTCCCCTTTTAGCATAATGCCCTTCAAAGCCTTTACGAGATTGTATTCTGCCTTTGATTTCGCAAAAATCAGAAGTCAACCAATCTTTTTTCGCTTTATTGCGAATTTCGATCTCCGCGACGCCGAAAGACCGGTAGACCAAAAGTCTCGTGTGTATAATTTTGCCAGTAGCGAGACCATCTAAAAATCACCTTTTAAGGTGCATTAGATTTTGCTAATAGTCATGCGGCTCTGCTGGTAAAGGGATTATGAGATAGGGTCGGTAGTATCACAGGTGCGGGATTCGATTTTCCCGCTCTGCAAGAGGCAGAACAAAAGTTGAAGAGTAGGAAGAGTTAAAGATAAGACAAAAAAAAAAGTGCATTAAACTTCTATCTGCATTTTACATGTGTCTTTGAAGCCCGGGAGCTAGTCTCGCGAACTCTCTCAAACTTGATCTTAATCTCACTAACTCTCTAAGTTTATTACCAATTAAAAGAAAGGTCTCTGGACAGGGACGGAGCCCCATATCGCTTCGGTGTGCACCAGTGACAAAAGAGGGCTCTGGGTAGGGATGAAGTCCTACATCGCTTGACCGTGTGCACAAGTGAGGCTGTGTACTGTCTAGGCGTCCTCCCCTTTTGGCATGCCTTAAGGTTCTATATAGGCACTTCACCTGTATCCCTCGAGCCTGTAAACCAATCTCACGGATTTTGTAAAATTCGTATCGACTTTATCGCATCATTATAATTACCGGGAGTACGCGGTTTATCGAGAAAATTATCAAAAAAGTCCTACACTGATTGTACGGATGTCAATTCAGTCCAAAACTTTAAATTTGACCAATTTTGGCCGAAAATTATCAACATGAGTAATTTTTACAATTTTTTTTTAAAAAAATGATATTTTAATATATATATTTTTTGTTTTTTTCTTTCCTATTCTCTTTTTCTTCCCCTTCTTCCTCCAACGGTCACTGAATTAGGTCATATCAAGGGGCGCCTTTTAGCACTTACTACGCATGTGAATTAGAAACAATTTAATTTTCAATATAGTGATTACATATATCAATACATGGAACATTAAAGGTGTTTATGATAACCATTCTATTTTTTTTTATTTTTTTGTTTTTCTATTCAGAAACAATTTTGGAACAGAAATCCGTTTGGTAACGTAATTTCATTTTTCTATTTCTGAAACAAATTTTGATTTCAAAAATAGGTTTGGAACAGAAATGAGAAGTAACAATATTCTAATTTTCTATTTCTAGAACAGAAAGTAGAAATAAAAACTCTTTTTATCACTCGCCCTTACTATTAACTGGCCGCCCACTCGTACTCGCCATTGTTGCCCTCTGGCTGCCTCCTGTCATTCGCCTCCTGCCGCCGTCTGCCATCCTCCGCCGCCCGCCGTCCTCCCCCGCCTACCTCTGACTGTCAGCCGCCTCTTGTCGCCGTCTGCCATCTTCCGTTGTCCGCTGGTCGTTGTCCGTCACTAGGCTGTCTACCATTCTCCGTCGTCCGCCGCCGCCGCCTGCCTACCGTCCACCCACTTGGGAGGGAGAAATTTTCAGTCATTATCAAACGCATATTTTTGCTCAGGAACTCGTCGATCGCTCATGAGGGAGAAATTTTGTATTGTTATCAAACACATATTGTTGCTCAGAAACTCGTCCAAGGAATAGATTATAAAAAAAAAATCTTGCCAGAAATTGATTTCTAAAACATAATGGTTATCATCCGTGCCCTAAATAGTTTTTTTACTTTGTTGTTTGAAAAATGCAAAATGCTCTAAGGCACTCGCTTACAAAATCCCCTCTAACTTTAATTGAGAATTTTCCATTTTCTTTAATTTTGACTCAATACTCGTGACTTAATTTGAGGGTGTGACAATGCAGTAGGGGCGAAGAGATTCCCAATCCGACATAGCATAAACATGAATAACTTGAAAATGATATGACTTTTACAAATTTTGACCCTTTTAATCATGAAAATCATTTTCATCATATTGGAACAAACTTTCACTTTTTTGCAATGACATGAAAACTAACACCAGCATAATGACACAATTCAAATTACTACAATCCCTCACAAAATCGATTATCAGCCAAAGGTTTCTTCGTGTAAATGTATCGTATTTTCCTTCTAGCTTGAATTGTTATTTACTGAGAATTGTGATTCTAATGTACAAAAATTTCTGTGAACAAATCAGTGGGCTTATACTTTTGACTTGTTTTTTTCTTTTTTTGTTGCGAGTTGCATAAGCATTAACCAAATCCAACTGCTGACCAACGCCATATTTGTAGCCTTGAGAATTAAGAGGGGCGTATCATTTGGGAGGGACAAGTAGTCATGCGAGAATTCCCTCTCTATTTTCTCTCTAGGGAGAATATATTCCAATCGTTGAATTCTTCTTCTTTGGAAAATAGGAGGGAGAGAAAACAAGGGGCAAATCGTTGAAGGGCAAAAGTGATGTGGTAATTTGGATCTGATCTTTATTCTTTGATTGGCTATATAAATTATGCAAGAGTCAGAGGCCAATGAATAGCAAGGAGTTAGGGTTTGATTGGGAAGAGAGGCCTAGACATGAAGATAAGAGTCTCGGTTTGGTAGCCAAGGATGAATTGCCTGCTCCAATGTGAGAAATGTTGCCAATACAAATGCAAAACCTTTTGGAAGTGTTTTGGGGCTTGGTTTCAGGCAGTCTCCTTGGCTAGCTAGACAGGCTCTTCTCTTTCATGTTAGGCTCCATCTTCCGCGATGGTTTTAGAAGTCTCATCGACATTGTAACGAAATTGGTCGTCAAAAGGAACGGATTGTTCGTCTGAGGAAAAGATGTCCAATTGGAAAGGACGAGTTTCATTTAGCTGTCGATGGTGACTCCGCTTCTCTAGCTATGAGATCTCTAAGGTGGGTTGGGAAAACTTGATGCGTGCTTCGACGTATGGTATTCTTTGCTAAGTTGCCGAGCTATTGTCGTCCATGCTAGACCCCATTTTTTCTTTTTTTCTCCTATGGTCCCATAATGGGGTTTTGAAACTACCTTGTATATACGTCGTGCGTAAACAAGGTTCATTTCAGCACCAAATTAAGGATTTTTGGAAACTACATCGATGTTGATGGATCGATCGAAGTAAGTTAAGCAACAGAAAGTATTTTAAGATGGAATAAATAATTTCGTTTCAGTACCTAATTGACAGTAGCCCTTGCTTGCACCATGCACAAGGTCTCGAAGTACAGGCCGCGCTGGTCCCAGCTTGACTAGATTTTCATAAGCTTCCCGATTTACCAATTCCAATGTTGATGCTTTCACTGAATTTTAGAGATCCTAAAAGATTACACGACCAAATCACTCTCTCTCTCTTTAAAAAAATGAGAAAACATAAGCAACATACGACTCTTCCTTATGGCCAAATCAGCTTCAAGATCGAGCAGTTTCGACTTCTTCCCCTGCCCCCTGATCTTCAGGGATTTACTAAGCCCGCGAACAGAAAATGATGCGAAATGCGGATGCGTTTCGTTCAGTTTTTTCAAAGAACTATTTACATGATTACCTCTTGGATTCCATTGCTCGTGATCTCATCATCCAACCAAGAAAAATATAATTTAACAACATAAAAGCAGCTAGGTATTCACTGACAAGATTAACAAAAAACAAAACCCTTTACTTGTTTTTGTTTTGCATTTTTTTCCGTTCTTTCCTAGGACTTCTAAATAAACAAAGGAAAGAACTGGAATCAATCAATCGACCACGACGAGGTCCCGGTACTTCTTGCCCGAGATGGCGGCTTCCATGATGGCCACGGGGCTTATGCACCCCTCCTCCTCCAGGAACATCTTCATCAGGTTCTTCGAGAACCCGCTCACCAGCGCTACCCCCGCCTGCTTCGCCGAAACCGGCGTCGAACTCGAGTCCCTCAGGTTCCAGAACACGATCTGCGGCACCGCCACCCCGTACCCACGCTCCCCGAACTTCCTCTTGATCGCCTCGTAGTCCGTCTCCCATGGGTTCGAGGAAGCCCGGTCGAATTCCATGTCGCTGAACACAAACACCTTCTGGACCATCTCCTCCGCCTTCAGCTTCCCCGCGGTGCCCACCTCTAGAATCCTATCGAACACACTCTGGAAGTTGGTGTTGCAACCCCATTCCATCGTTCTGATGAATTCGGTCTTGGAGCGCAAGTCGTCGCCTTGTATCGCTTGGAGCTGAGGGCGCTCGCTGAATGTGATCACCTTGCCCTTCCACGGTTCTCGGCTAAGCTCCGACACCAACAGCCCAAGCGCCACCGACACCTCCATCGGGGTCCCCGACATGCTCCCCGAGACGTCGCACACCGCGATACAGTTCTCCAACTTCCCCGCCTTGGATAGATCCTCCACCATCCGCTTCCACTGAAGCTCCGCGACCTCGCCCCCGTCGGGGTCGTCGAGTGAGGCTACAATCTCATGAGGGAGCAGTGCGCCGGCGGCGATCTTGGCCTTCCCTGACTTCACGTCGGCCAGGTAGCTCTGGAACCGATCGCCATCGTGCTTCAGGAACTTTTCCTTGCGGAGTTTCATGGCCACCGAGGCGACCCGGTTGTACGGGATGTCGCCCCACCGCCCTGCGCTCATGTACACCTCCGGCAGCTCCAGGACCCTCCGGAGTGGCACAAGGGCGTCCTTCCGGAGCCGGTCCCGGACCCTGTACGTGTAGTGCGCCTCCTCAAGGCCCTCGTACTCGGGAAACCGGTCCCGTGGGAAGACCCGCTTTGCAATGCTCTCACAGAGCAGCGTCACGAGGTCGAAGGACGAGTCGAGCGAAGGGCACCACTTGGCGGCGAGGTTGATCCTGTTGATCTCCCCGGATTTCTGGAAGTGCAGGTCCACCGTCAGGCAAGGGGCGAAGTGCCCAGACACCGCGTCATGGAGGAACCGGAAGTCCCCATCGCGCTTGTACCGCTCCAGGAGCTTCTTGGCCATGGCAATCCTCTTCCTGTTCCTCAGCTCGCTCGCCTTTTGCTTCTGCTCCCGGTTACTCGCAACTGCGTCCGCGACCCTCACTTCCTTGGGCACCGAAACCGTGGCCGTCGTCGAGCTATATCTCCCCTTCTTTCTTCTGGATTTATTGCAGCAGCTGAACGCTGGAAATGATTGCAATCGCCGCGTGCTTTTGGTGCCTTTCCGCTGTTGCCACTCGCTCTTCTGCCTCGCCCTGATGTCAGGGCCCTTGACGAGGCGGTAGAGGATCTCGGGCAAGTCTTTGAAGTACCCGAACTCCGCGAAGGCCCCAACGTTGCAAGCCAGGGTCCGTGGGTGGTTCTCGAATAGCCACCTCGCCGCAGCATGGAACCCTTCCTTGTCCGACTTCCCGGTCCCGCGCACGCCCCGGAGGTTGCACACGAGCTCGAGGGCGATAAGCGGGTCGTGAGCCCAGGCTGACTTGAGCCTCCGGGTCAGGGACCTGGGCGGGGTGTCAGGGACCACGTGGAAAAAGAAGTCGAGGCACGGGTTGCCCATCGACAGGAATGTGGCCGAGTTGTTCTCTGTGTAGCCCTTCCGAGGCAAGTCGCCGCCGTCGTCGTCGAAGTTGGCAACCATCAGGTTGGTGAAGGGGTGGGCGGGAGCGGGCCGGGCTTGGGGGGGAGGCGGCGGGTCGTGGCATTCGGGCGGTCCGAGGAGGGGGTGGACAGATGATGGGGAATAAGGAAGAGGAGGAGGAGGAGGAGGAGGAGGAGGAGGAGGAGCCATTGATGATGAATAATTGGAGGGGGCTTCGGGAGATTGGATTGAGTGGTTTGGTTTCGTTTCGAGAGTAATATTTATAGGGACTGGTTTACTTGGAGGACAAGGACTTGGCCGACTTAGGAGGGAGAGTGTGTTTGGGAATTTTCTTTGGGATTGACTTCAAATACGGACTTTTCTTTGAGAGAATGTTCATATCCGTCGCCTTTTTCCAACGAGGGATGACTTGTATTAGTTAATTGGGCATTCGATGTTTTTAATGATTCGGGGTTGGCGGTCTCCATCAACCGAAGTGCACGTTCTTGTTAAGCATCTATATAAATAAATATTGCAACTTTTAAGGCATAAAGCTCTCTCCATGATGTCTAAAATTAATGCTTTTGAAAGTGGAATACTTCGCTATTAAGCATGTTTAACAGGAATTTTCTTTTTTGTCGAAAGAATATTGTATTCATTGCTCAAAAGGATATATGAGAAATATATAAATTTCATAGCAAAGTAAATCGAAACAGAGTAAAACCCAAAATACTACAAAACAAAACCTAATCCAAAAAATTATGAGGATTAACTGAATACCAATAAGATTAAGCACACACTCGTTTCATTAAAACGGATTTGTGAAGCAAAATAATTGGCGTCCGATCACTAGATCTCGTATCATTGTCAGTGATGATCACATGCCGGAAATTCCTTCTCCAGTAATTACGGCGTTGCCAGTTGGAGGTGCGCACCTAGGTTCGACTTTCTCTACACCATTGCCATACGGAGACTACCAAAACAAGTTGAGGAAACACAAATCTAACATTTGGAAGAGCAAATTTTCGTGATTCAGCAATACGGCAAAGCTTCTGTGATCACCATTGAAGCTGGAGGCAGATAGCATGTACATGGACAGAGCATAGGGATATCGAATCCCTGAAAACATATCTATTAAACTCCCACATTTGAATAAGAAGAGATCTATCAACAAGATTCTTATATCATGAGAAATTGAGGAGTCAAATGAGAGTCCTCCTTTAAAAGGAAAAAAGGTTAAAAGTGGAGGTGGACGAGGAGAAATTACCATATGAATCATATCACGCGGTTGATCTCAACCATTAAATTATCTTGGCCAGTCACATATTGAATTTTACGTGATCAAAAGATTAATGTGAACTGAGATCAGGAGCGTGCAAATGCCACCCACGTTATACAGAGGAAAGTTTTCCAGAAGTGGGGTATGTGGCAATGCTGAGAAAAGTATTATGCCCGGCGGCACCAGAAAATAAAAACCATAGTGTAGAACATTTTATCATAGATTCATAATGGACTCATTCCTCGATATAGAGGACCCAAGGAAAGACTCTTTCCTATTAGCTTATTTCAACATAGGTTAGGAAGAAGCACCGATTGTATTGAAGCTCTAAAGGGACTATTGGAAGATTGCCACGATAAGCAAATTCAATTGGCGTCATCCAATGAGAACTTACGCAGCTACGACCGATCCTTAAGAGAAGATTAAGAGTTACATGAACTGAGCGTTTATCTATTTAAGCATCCAATAAACTCTTCCATCACATAATGCAATCACAAATGAAACTAAACATCGATTGCCTTTGACGTGGCTCAAGATCCCGCATCTCGTACATTATAATATTTGAGGTTAAAATGTGTGAGATTTTGGTAGGACCACTGTCGACTATTCTAAAAGCGTAAGCTGTTAGATGAAGGCGTGAATTAGTATTTAAATATTATGTCACTTCCCCTCATGCTTAGTCTAATCTTTTTGCCTAGTATTAAGGGTGAACATAGTTAATTGAGAGGCAAATGAGGCCTGTAAAGATTTGAACTCGAGCGCTCTTACTTTAATACCATGTGAGAGTTTGGTGGGACCACTGCTGATTGTTCTAAAAGTTTAAGCTGTTAGATAAATGTGTGGTTTAATATTTAAGTATTCTATCGCTCCCCTTACACTTAGTCTGGTCTTTTTTGTCTTGTACTAAGCGTGGACATATTTAATTGGAGAGCTGAAGAATTGGACAAGATACGCTTTGTTGTTATTTCTCACATATATTTAAAGTACAAGGCAGCTTTGTTGTTATTTCTCACATATATTTAAAGTACAAGGCAGCTAATGGTTTATAGAAAGACATCAAAAAATAACTATAATACAATAACTTTCCTTGTTATATAGCCTTTGTATATGGAAAGATAAAATCCTCTATACAAAAAAAAAGAAGATAAAATGAATTTGTCAGCTTTGGAAACTCTCGTTGCACTTGCCAAGAGTACAAGGATTGCTTGACTGGTCTTGATCTAATTGAGGGTAATTTTATGAATTGCTTTGCTGTTAAGAAATATTTTCTCCAATACGCCCCCGCAAAAGAGGCGTTCCATTGTGAATGTCGATCTTGGACCGTAAATGAAGAAACCGTTGTCGTGCAAGAGGCTTTGTTAGTGCATCCGCGAGTTGATCATGAGTGGACATGGGACAAGCGGCTTTTGAACAAGCATTGGTTAACCATGTCGCGAACAAAATGATAATCAATGGCAATGTGTCTTATCTTGGAGTTAAAAATGGGATTAGTGCACACGTACGTAGAACCAATATTATCACAATAGACACTAGGTGTGGTCAAAAAAGATACTCCAAGTTCATGCTAGAGAGATTGAATCCATGTGAACTCAGAAGCTGTCGCAGCAACAGCACGACACTCAGCTTTGGTTGCTGAACGAGCAACAGATCGTTGTTTTTTAGAGCACCATGATATAGGATTCTGGCCAATATAAGACTTACAATCATCCAGATTGCCTGCCCAATCAGCATTAGAGGATGCATGACGCGATGGGGAGGGACTACTTTGCAAGTGCAGGCCAAGATTAATAGTCCCTTTGAGATAATGTAAAACACGTTTGACAGCACTTCAATGTAACTCTGTTGATTGATGCTTAAACTAAGAGAGTTTGTTGACGACAAAAAAAAACATCAAACCTTGCGAATGCAGGATATTGAGGAGCATCGATAATCTTCCTATATTAAGTTGCATCAGTATGAGGTGATCCATCAACAAGAGTGAGAGAGCTATCGGTAACCATTGGGGTGGTAATCTCCTTGGCTCCTAACATGGTTGCTCGATCAAGAATGTCCCTTATATACTCGTGTTGTGTGAGAAAAAGACCGAACTTTATGTGTATCACCTCAACTCCCGAGAAATAATGTGGATCCCCTCGATCCTTTAGTGAGAATTTACATGCAAAAGCTCTCGCAAAATTTTGTATCATTTCTTGTCTGGATCAGATCATCTATATAAATCAAGAAATAAACAGTGATGCCATCATGTTTTTATATAAAGTGTGAGGAATTTGATTTGGATTGGATGAATCCAAACGAGATGACAAAGGAAATAAGTGTTTGATACCATGCGCGAGGGGCTTGTTTAAGACCGTAAATAGCCTTCTTCAATCGACATATGTGATTCGGATGCGACTAATCGACAAAACCTGGTGGTTGGTATATATAGACTTCCTCCATAAGAGTGCCATGTAAGAAGGCATTGTTGACATCCAATTGTAGAAGGGGCCAACCATTTGATAAGGCTAGACAAAGAACAACGTGCATTGTGGCGGGTTTAACAACTAGACTAAACATATGATCATAGTCAAGTCCTGGCCATTGGTGGAGTCCCTTGGCGATAGGCCGTGTCTTATACCAATCTATGCTACCATCTGAGTTTCGCTTGACTCGAAATATCTACTTGTAGCCAATAATATTATGATGAGGCTCAAGTGGTACAAGTTGCCATGCACCATTTCAGAGAATTGTGTTAAATTCCTCCGACATAGTAACTCGCCACTTTGGATCTTTTGAGGCTTGGGAAACACACATTGGTCCAAGTAATGGAGGTAAATGATGCTTGGTGGCTGAATGTATTTGTTTGGGTTTGTAAATGTTATTCTGAGAGCGAGTGATCATCGGATGAAAACATGTGGGCATTGAAGGAATTGTGGTGGAGGGGCGGAATGAAGTGTTCGAGTCCATTGGAGGCATAGATGACGCTTCAGTGGCTGATGATGGATTTGCATTGGGGGACGTTAAATTGGTGTTCTCCACCAAAGTTATGAGGCCATTCAACTAGTGATCTAGAACTTCTGCATCCATTGAACTCGAAGGACTTGTTGGACCATGCATGGTATGGCTTAGTCATCTGGTGTTGGAAGAGGTGGCTGAATTCTTTATTAAAAAATGAGATGGTGCACAGGTACGTTGAGGTGTTAGAGATAGGGATTGAGAACTAGTACGATGGAGCGGTTAAGCGTGTTCGGAGTAAGGAAAAATGGACTCCTCAAACACTACATGACGTGAGACAAAGACTTTGTTTTGTTGATGATTGTAACATTAGTAAGCACCTTGATTAAGAGTGTAACCAAGAAAAATACATCGATATTCAAGTTTATGCTAGCCATATGGTTTAAGCCAAGGATAATAGTGACAACCGAAAACTCGAAGTTTCAAGTAATTTGGACAGAAGTCGAAAAAAGTCTCAAAAGGAGATTTGAGTCCTAAGACCGATGCATGTAGACGATTTATTAGAAATGCAGCGGCTTAAAATGTGTAGGACCAAAAGGAGGAAGGAAGAGACGCTTGATGAAGCAATGTAAGACTTGTTTCGACAACATGCCTGTGACGACACTCCGCAATCCCATAATGTTGGGATGTGTGTGAAGGTGATTGTAAATGTGTAGTCCCATGAGACAAGAAAACCCTTTTAATTTTTTATATTCTCCACCACCGTTATAGTAAACTGATACTATGGGATTTTGAAAGTAATTTTCCCCCAATTTCTTGAATTTTGGAAATAGAGAGTAATTGTCGGATTTTTGTTTAATTGGGTAGAGCCAGATGTATCAGATATAGAAATCCACAAAAATAACATAATACGAAAAGTCATATATTGATTTCACCGGAGCGAGACCCAAACCTCATTGTCGCCAAGTGAGGCTTGCACTCGCCTTTGGCTGATCACCAAGCTCCGGTGACCGACAAGAGGAAGAAGGGAAGGAAAAAAAAAAGAGAGAAGGAAAAGAAAAAAAAGGAAAAATGAAAAGACAAAATAAATAAATAAATAATTCGATTTTTTTTTAAATATTATTAAAAATTGTCCACAACAACGCCGGCTGCACCGAGTAGGATGGCAGGTGTCTATGCCAGCAATTTCCGGTCAAAATTGGTTAGATAGACTAAATTGATAAAAATGCAAAAGGTTCATGACTCAATAGGCAAAAAAGAAAGGTTTAGGACTGAATTAACATAATTACATTACATTTAAGACTGTTTTGGTAATTCTCCGTGCACTTGCTT